ATCAATATTGTACTTCGTTTTAAATTTACAAAGACATGCAAAAATTTTGCAATTATTATATTGGGATGCAGCTCCATCAGACATAAACATCGCTTTTTTACTTGTATTTTTGTTTGCAAAAAGGTCAGTAATTTTGAAATAAATACTTGCACCGCAATTGTATCGTGTTTTAAAACTTCAGAGATTACGATCAAACTTAAATTTTTAATTATACCTGATTCTGAATAATAAATGCAAAAAGGATGAACTTGTTGATAATTCCAGTAACTACTTTGGGCAGCATCATGAACAACAAATGAATAATTTTCGGAAAAATCACAAATTATTGTATTTCTCAAGAAACTAGACTGCTGAGTTTTAATATAATCATGGGATACCAGTTTTTCCAACTTTTCGCAATAATAAGGAACAAATCCATCTACTGGTTTTACAAGTTTCTCTAAACTACATCGATCAGTTGAAACCCATTTTTCAAAACATATTTCAGACATACCCTGTTCCTCGATTTTTTTTCTGAAAAACTTCTTTCAATATCTGAGAGACCTGGACAACGTTCGCATAATATTTCTTCAAAATAATGGTTGAAATCTTTTTCGAGTGAATGTTTTCTAAGACAATGAAGCATTAAATTAATATTTTCATGGATGGTAGAAACACAAATATTGTGAAAACCTGAACTACCAAGTAATTTGCAATGCTTTGGTTTTAGTGCTGCAAATGAACTAAATCCAATGCTATTTTTACTAACTTCTTAAAAATTTGTGGCCACTACTCCTTTCCCGTTTGCCAAGCATCGAGCTTGCAATACAATGTATTTATTTGTTAAAATCGTCAGAATCCTTATTTGATCGTCTCTCGATGAACCTGGATCAGCAAATCTCTCCTTCAGTTGTCCGATCATCTCATTGTGTTCCGCAGCTTTCAATTTTAGTTGTTCCAGGTCATCTTCTTCGGCTTGAAAACCGAAGATGCGTTTCTTAATGCCATTGGTAATGTCCATATACTTTCTCCGGGGATAGTTAACATTCTGGAATTTTTTTTTGTCGATATTGGCGATACGTTGATACCAGCTATGCCCTTGTTGAATGGCTCAGTATTATGCGTCCTGGAAAATTGTTGCTCTCCACTATCGTGAGATGATGCTGTTGTTATTGACGTAGTTGATGGTATTTCTTCAAGGCCATGTCGAGATGTAGATGGCTGCGGCTCCGCGATGTCCATGACTGACGGTTGCACTTCTAGTTCCAGATTTTCAGCACATGGTTCGATTATATTTAAATTCAAGCGACACGTATCACAGATTGATAGAGATGTATCCAAATTAAATTTCCACTCTAGGAACTTATGTTTTTTAATCAAATTTTCGGATAATTTACGAAGCTTTGACGAACACCGTTTATTAGGAAACGGCTTGCAACACTCGACCTTCTTAAATTCCATATTCAAATTATACTTGTTCACTCAAAAAGATTTTTTTAGTGATGTCTGTTTTCAAAAGGATGGTCATGCTTATATACAAACGTTGGTACCATTTGGATATTCAGGTATAAATATTGTTTGGGTATTGAAGCTACTCTAACAGAGAAGCTCTTTTTTTCATGAAAAATACCATGGAAGACATTATAATGTACCTAAAATAATAAGATGGATAGGTATATCAATATTAACAACTTAAATAGGATGAAACTACGCTTGATAATGAAAATAAGTGCAACTTAACTTGTGTTGGTTTCTATATTTAAAATAATAGTGTTTTCATTTCCCCTGTAAATTCTTAACGGGTTGTCTGATGGTTCAATCGTCAAAAGACAAATTAAAGGTAAATATATGTGTATCTTGCTAAACTTATCAATTCTGATGGAGAATCATGACTAACTTATGAAAATGGCTTATTTTCTACAAAAAATTGATTTTGATGAAAGTTAATTTGAAATATCTCGACAACGGTTATATTTAGGAAGTTTATTGATATGAGCACTATCGTTTGAAATGATTTTTATAATCATATACTAACATCAAACTGAACATTTTGCCGTAAATAATAAAATTTTCAAAAATGCCTCAAAAGTTGCTCTTAGAAAAACTTTTTTATTGAAAGTTTGTCCATCCTAGAGTTGTTTTCAAAACTTTGGCTTTCTATTCAAGTTTTTATAAAAAAAATATAAAAAAAATCGAAATAAGTTTTTTTGTTATTTTAATTTTAACGTTTATTTTTATTTTTTTTTGTATAAAAACGAAAAAAACATTCCGTGTATATTTTTTTTATAAAGCTTTATTAGTTTCCTATAACTCCTTGCTTGTATTTTTTTTTTCTACCCACTGTTTTCGAACTACATTTTTTTTAAAGATGTGTGCAAAAACTCATATACCCTTTTCAAAAATTACCCTTGAGTCAAAATGGTCTCCTCTCCTGCGGAAAATACTTGGTCTATCATACTTGGTCTATCGAAGATGGTCGAGCACGATTTCAGGTTTTTTCAGCTCAGAATGGATGGAATCTCTCATATGATAGCTATTTGATAATATTAGTTTTGCTCGAATGTTGTTCAGTAGAGCATTAGTGTACGAATATAAACAGATTGTAATGCACGACAGCGTAGTGAGTGTAGTAAAACACGTCAACTGTTTCAACCCGTGCTCATAATCCTTTATAAAACAACAATTCTCTCTGTTCTAGAGTACGTCTCTTTCTGCTTTCTCTCGACAAGAAAAAGTCACTTTTATTAGGTACGAATGCAACATCATCAGGTACTAATGCAATATCGTTGTCTGCGTATTGCACTCGGCTGTATGCACTCAAAGCATAACATGAGTCTCGAGGTTCTGGCAGGAGTAACACCTCTCCTCACCGTTTTTGGGAGCTTTCTCTCGAAATACTAATCAAATGCGGAGTGACGAAAACACTTATAATTGCAAATTTCGAAGAAATTCTTGGGCTGAACACAAAATCTCGATTCAAGAGAATTTACCACAACTATAGGGGAAATGTAGGTAATGTCGGCCTACATGTCCCTAATTTGGGCTCATACATAAATTCAGGAATCGACTAAATTTTAGCAATAGCGACCAAAAATATCCATTAGTACCGTCATAACGACGCGTTCATCTAGATAAAATTGATAAATAGCAGACTTTTAGCGATGGGCCCAGTCTTAGATCTATAGGCCAACATTAGAGCCATTTCCCCTATATCATCGGATTATGTGTCTTTCTTGTTCGACTCCAGACCGTGCTCACATCACTATTAGCAGTTCCTCAATTGTATATGATCTGACCATGAAACAAGCAACTCATGGGATTCTCGATCAACTTCGACCTATTATTATCCCGCGTATTTTTACTGAAAAGCACCAACACGTCAATTGCGTGATAATATTTTATATTTTACAGACGGGTTTCGTCTCAATGGATCCACTGGCTTTGGAGTCTTCAATGAAAACTCTAGCGCCTTCCGCAAACTTCAGGAGCCTTGTTCCGTTTATGTTTCTGAGCGGGCAGAAATCAACTTCGCATTGGAGATGATTCCCAATATGCCCGCGGACCATTACTTCACCTTCTCGACCTTCTTTCAAAGGTAAGGGAGCAGATGCGTGCCCTAGCCGAAAGATCATATATGATTACCTTTGTATGGGTCCCTCACATTACCATTATATGGGTCCCAAACGATAAATTTTGCAATTTAGGGCGTCAGTTTAGTAGAATTTATTGGGATACTGGAAACCTTGGTTGGTGGTTACATGAACGTAATGTTTCTTCGAGAGCGTGGTTTAAAGGCTTGGGCATAGGTCGTGACTTCATTCGCGTGATGAGTAGACTTATGTCCAACCACTACTCGTTAGATGCTCTCTATAGAATAAAGCTCGTGGATTGAAACATCTTGGTGTGGAAACGGTTACGATGACATCGATCACGCAGTTTGGCAATGTACGGATAATAACGCCGCCAGAGAGCGACTTTTGAATACCCTCGAGGAGACCCCTATGTTGTCGAGGAGACAACTCTATAATCCTATCAAAGACGTGTTGGGAACACGCGACCTCTGCTATATGCAGTCGGTTTATGTGTTTCTGCAAATGTCTAGTATAAGAATGATATTCCTTTGCAAAATAAGAGATGAACCAGCCCAAGGCTGAAAATCTCTCTAATAAAGCAAAAAAATAAAAAATTCCTTTGCTATGTCTCTCTTTATCGCCCACTGACGATAGCCGCTTAGACAACCAGAAGTCGTTCAACAATATACAGATAGTATCGTAAATTTCTACAGTTTAAGTCAAAATCGCATATAAGAATGGCATACCTCGCATTATGTTTAAGTTAAATCGTATAGAATGCACATTTCCGACTTACATGCGATGATTCATTTTTCCGCCGTACTGTATCACACATTAAATCGGATTACATCGTAAGACTTTTCAAAATGAATTTGTTATTATAGATTAAAACGTATATGATGTTAAATCAACTCGTTTAAAATTAAATTAAAATATGCACGTATATGGCCCTCCACTTTTGTACGTATAAGCCATTTCTTTGCATTATATACGAATTGTGTGTTCGTATATATGTTTGTATATCACGAAAACAACTTTGCATATACGTGCATTCTGATTGTCTGGGCGGTGAACTCCACACGACTCTAAAATCGCACTACCGTTCATATGGACGACAACAATCTGATGAAACAACGAAACCCTACCCCAAACTCTTACCACGATCCTATCCTTCTACAACGTACCCCTCAAACTTCTGGTAAGCCGCGAGTTTTTGGCTCCGTAAAGCTAATGCATTTTAAAGTGGAAAGCCTAACAAATAAACGAGCTAGATTCGGCGATTCTTGAAATTATACAATTTGAAAAAAAAACTGGGGCGCTTTCAAATGTTTGAAGATTTTTTTCTACAGAATATTCTATATAAAAAACTAGTCAAAATAAGAACGTAAGATGCTATGGTTTGGGAGTATATGATTGTTAACCAAAAACTAAACCTAAGTTGATTCATACCTTACTAGGATGCATTAGATGTACGAGTGTTTGTACAATTGCATGATTTGTTGCATTCATATGAGCATTTAGTGGAAAATTGCACTCTCCACTGCAATAAAACGCTCCATATCCTTCAGGTGCAATTATCCAGTCCTAAAAATAATATAACAATAGGAAATAATTAATTCTTTGGACATACGATAAAGAAGGGAATATTCCCTTCTTTTAATATATATAAAAGAGAACATAATCAATTCGTTAAATATATGATAAATAAGGGAATATTCCCTTCTTTGAAAATATAACAAAAGGAAATAATTAATTCTTTGGATATGCGATAAAGAAGGGAATATTCCCTTCTTTGAATATATAAAAGAGAACATAATTAATTCGTTAAATTTATGATAAAGAAGGGAATATTCACTTCTTTGAAAATATAACAAAAGGAAATAATTAATTATTGGATAAACGGTAAAGAAGGGAATATTCCTTTCTTTGGATAATTAAAAGAGAAAATAATTAATTCTTTGGATGTATGATAAAGAAGGAATATTCCCTTCTTTTAATATATAAGGAAAATATTTAATCAATAGCTTTTGGCAAGGGATTCGGGGTAATGCCATTTGGGATAATAACGTGTGGAATAATGTTATAAATTTGTAATCGATAGTTCAACGTTCCATGCACCGATTTTTCAATCCATAACGAGAAATTCTTCAACTCAGGTCGAACAATTCTTTGATAAAGTTTAACAGTTTCCGACTGGTTGAATTGGATTGCATATTAGACCCTTTGACTTTTTAAATGGTGAACGAAGTGCTCGAAAACTTGAAAGTTGTCATTTTCTAAAGAGCTTTAAAATGGTTTGGAATTGATAAATGCATAGTTCCATAAAAGTAAACGTAGTGTATTATCAATTTAGTAAAGTGAAACTAATCAGATGTGTAAAATTTATCGAGAAAATTTGTATTCAGAAGATGTATTATTCAGTGTGCAAGATACTTGCGGACCTGTATATTTATGGACGCCTTACATTAGAAAAACCATTGTGTCTAAAACTCTGAAATATTCGGAAAGGATTAAGCTTACTGCGTTTTTCTACGTCAATTAATATCAAATGACCAAAAAAAAGTGATAAATTACTAATTTCATCGTCTTTTCTGGGGCATGCTTTTTTGGGGAATGCTTTTCTGGGGAATGGTGCATTCTGGGGAATGGTTTTCTGGGGAATGTTATAGAATCAATGATAGTTTTTTTTTATTGGAATTTAGAAACACTTAATTTGCTGTTTGCTGTTCACAATCTGAAGCCATTCTGCTCTTAAAACTGAGACATCGCATTCGCATTCACAAAAAACGAAGCCATTTTGTCATTAAATCGTCGTTAAACACTCAAACAAACATAAAAATAAAGCTGCCCAAATATTAAGTTTTTTTTTTTTAATTTTCATTACGAAAATCGAATAGCTATTAAGTAGCTTCCGTTATATTTTATTTCGAAGATGCAGAATAATAATAATTCTAACTTTATTTTAAAAATGTAATATAATTTATTAAAAACAAATTAACAAAAGGCCGAAAAAAACTCGTAGTTTTTTCGGCCTTTTGTGTTTTTGGCCTTTTGTGATTCGGCCTTTTGTATATGTCTGTCTTTTGTGATTCGGCCTTGCGTAGTACTTATGATCTAATACTTAATATGAAAAATCGGTATAGATGAAAACTGGAATAACCTATCAGCGAGAAACCATTTTACTTTTGTTCTGTATGTTGAACATAGTGTTGGAAGTAGTGCGCAGTAATCACACAATAATGCGCTATGCGTAGGGAAAAGTTCGCGAATCATAGTGAACTCTTGCTTCACTAATCTACATGAATCAATTTTAAAAATGCTCTTATATGTACCTAGACATAATCATTATATTAGCAAATTAAGTGCTTCTAAATTCAAATAAAAAATTATCATTTGTATTCAGTATAAATTCCAAAACGAAATTTCCTTCTAAAAAATGTACCCTTCTTTTGATCCCTTGCTGTTCTTCCATTTGTCTTTATTTCGGGGTAATGGCCATTCGCGGGAGTAGGGCATTCGGGGTAATGGCCATTCGGGGTAGTAGGACATTCGGGGTAGTGGCATTCGGGGTAACGGCGTTCGGGGTTATGGCGTTCGGGGTTATGGCGTTCGGGGTAGTGACATTCGGGGTAGTGTCACAGAATCAGATCAGAGATGCCAGATTATTTATTTGAAAATTTGAAATACATGTTAATTTTTAAAAATCTTGTTTGACCAAACATGACCTGATATTTACGCATAAAACCAACACCCCGTTCACATTAAAACCTATGTTTAGTAATATAGCCTATATTTATAGCTGAATCTACACATTAATTCTGATCTTAGTTACCCAATTATTTTGTAATTGCGGAGCTACTTGGTAAAGTTTTGAAAATCTGCAAAAAAAAAATCAATATTGGAACATTTCTTGAATTTGTACAAGCTCGTTTCTGTTACCGGTATTTTATGATCACATAAAATAAAATGTATCACTTCCCATACGCCCTTTAGATACAATTCATACACCAGCATAATTAGCAGGGCTATAGAGAACTAATGTATCTTTCTTATGCTTAACAGCAACAATGTTTTATTCCTTTAGAGTCCAAAAGCTATCAATTTTTTATAGACATTCCAAACGACTTCCAGTTTAAGTTCAATCACTTAAAATATAAAGAGGGGATCCCCCGACGCAAAATAATTAATTTAACATATGATGGCTTTAGTACATCAGGAGTACTGGCAGTGAAAGGAGACATGCATGGGCACGTGCCCTCCCCCATCCTTGATAATTTTTTTATGCTCTAAGCTTGTTTGAACATATAAAAAATGCATGAAATGCATAATTATATGTTTATTTATTTATTTATTCGTCAATCAATCAAATCATTCCGTCTCGCACGCTGAGCCGGTCAAGTCGCATCGGTCTCGTTGTACGACACTAGTATTTGAGTTTTTGAGTTTTTCCCCACGAGAGCGTTTTTTCTCGCCAAAGTTAGTTGGCATAGTGTTAATACAACGTGCGCGAGTGAGGAAGCCGTTAACCATACGCCGAGCGCTTTGCTTACGGTCCAGCTTTAATCATCATCATCGCATCATCACATCATCCCATTGATAGCAACAACGAAAGCACGTTAAATTGCCTACCGAGGCGACCGAGGCGACCGAGGCTTACCAGCTATCAGGTTATCGACCCAACAGCTGTTGGGGCAAACAATAGCCTCGCACCAGTCATCTGCCGCCTCAGTGTAATAGGTATACCGTGTCGCTTTGTTTTCACCAGTATCGCATCTCCCCGCATGGTCCAATATTAGATTAGGTTGGGTCATAATTAGGGTGATCCAAAAATTTTGTAAATAGTAAATACCTATAAATTTTTTTCTTGGTTTTTTTTCGTACTATTTTTTAGTAGAGCATAGTTAGGGTGATCTAAAAAAAATTTTTTTTGCTATATAATTTTTTTTTTTCTTGTTTTGGTTTTTTTTTTCTTTCTTTCGTATTACTCTTTACTAGAGTAAAACTATATCAATTTATTTTTTTTTATTTTCTTATTTTTTATTTTTTTTTGTATTTTTTTTTAATTTTTGATACTATTTGAAATTACTTTTATTATTTGTAAAATATTTATCAAAAACACCATTGCGGTGATATTTAACCGCAATGGATGAAAATGATAAAGGCGGGGGATGGTCGCTTTCCATCTCAGACGACGAAACTCTTGATTCCACCTCACACGAAAGTCTCGAGGAAGTTGTGGAAATGGAAACCCTTGACGTCCCAGTTGACTCGCTCTCCAGCAAAAATACTGGAGCATATCCCAAGAAAAGGTATCCCCCACAACCCTCTCCCCCACCATCTTCTTCTCGTCCTCCTGCTCCCCCCACACCACTGCCCCCAAAAATCTCTGCGCTCCCCCGCCTAAAGGCTTACCCAGAAGCCTCGAAAGGCCCATGGGTTGTTTTTTCCGGCCCAAACAAAAACCTTTAAACATTCCGAGGATCTCTAAGGATCTAACAACACATTTTTCGGCCGTTACCGATATTTTCAAGGTAACTCCAATAAAACTGCGCGTTACCGTTGATGACCGGAAGCAGGCTAACCAAATTGTTGCGTGCGAGCTTTTTTCATTAGAATACGTAGACTCGGTATATCCAGTAGTGAGGTAGAAATTGAAGGAGTGGTCACCGAAGCGAGTTTGACTAGTGATGATTTCTTGGGTCCCGATTCCTTCGGAATCTTTAAAAACCGTGCTCTGCCGAAGGTGAAGATATTGGACTGCCTTCAAATGCAGTCAGTATCCGTAATAGGCTCCAAAAAAACTTATTCCTTGTCCAACTCGTTTCGTGTGACCTTTTCGGGTTCAGTGTTACCTCACTACGTCGCTATTGGCAAGGTTCGGCTACCTGTACGCCTGTTTGTACCTCGGGTAATGAACTGCTCGAAATGTAAACAACTTGGTCATACATCGGACTACTGCTCGAAAAAACCACGCTGCGATCAGTGTGGCGACCAACATCAAGAGGGCCCTTGCGGTGCTCCTCCAAAATGCGTGTACTGCAAGGAAAGCCTGCATACCCTGACTGACTGCCCGAGGTATAAACAGCAGGGAGAAAAACTTAAGCGGTCTCTGCAAGCTCGCTCCAAGAGAACACTAGCAGAACTCTTGAAGAATACCGCTTCATCTTCTCAGACCACACCAAAAAGCAGTAACACGTTCTCCATTTTGCCAGTTGATGATCTAGACTCTGACTCAGAGGTCGGTGAGGGTAGTCCGTTTGTCTTTAAAGGCAATACGAGAAAACGAGCAAAAAAAAACACACCACCGAAAAGTCTCGTAAGGCCACTCGTACGGACCACCCTTCCACCTTGGAAAAATCAAGAGGTAACGGAAATGCACCGAAACCCATTCCACCGGGTTTTAAACCTTGTAATTATCACAAGAACTTTCCGTCACTTCCAGGATCATCTAAAACCCCAGATGTTCCAGTTTTTCGGCCAGGAAATCAGCTGAATAATCAGCAATAACATGCTCCCATGTTCACGTTTTCTGGTATTGTGGATAGCTTCTTCAGTATATTCAATATCTCTGACTCAACGAGGAG